GGGAAAGAATTCCACTGGTGACACCAATACAGAAATCAAAAATACTGTATTCTGATCAGAGTTTTATATTGGTTTTGTGTGTATCTTTTAGACAGAGGTTCTAAACATGTGGTCAAAGAGCCCTCTCTGAAGAGTTTCAGAAGATCTAACAAAAAAACTTTCTGAAATTATATGAAAAATTGTGCATAGGTGCGTATACGTCTTTTCTGGGGACAAAGGTCATAACTTTTATCAAAGAACTATGAAGGTGATCCATATTTTCATGACACAAAAAGTTTTTTTTAAACTAATATAGAAAATCAATCTATACAGTCAGTGAACAACACACTGATGACTTTGATTATCTTGTTTAAAAAGCTAAATATTACATCATTGCTATTAATGAACTATTGCCAGCTCATACAAATGGAGAATTTAAAGCACAACAGACAATATTAACTTTCCTCAAAGAAATGATCAAAAGAGGTAGAGTTCTTAATTCTCATTGTAAGTATAATATGCTCTTACTCACTTCCTCAATTTTTGGTGGTTATCTATCACCAAAACTCAAATTGTTTGAGAGAAAAAATAAAAGCAATTCTGGATAATATACACTGAATAAATGTTATATATATGTTAGCATTCTTTATTTGTTTAACTACAATGTGATTTATACTAAAGACATCCATTATATTGTATTCATACAAAAGAGAAATTGTTTTTGAAAATAAATTCAAAAGCCAACCAAACTATGAACTTTACTTTCAATCTTCCCATATAAAGAAGTCTCAAATGAATTTAGACTCTCTGTTATAGCTATAACTTTTCTTACATATAAATGTTTCAAATGTTTATTTATTCATTTAACAAATATTTATTAAGTGCCAGGCACTGTGCTAAACTCCAGAGCCATAAGCCCCTTCTTCATAGAAAGTTCTAGTTATACTGAAGATATTCTATGATTTTCAAACATCATTTGCAAAATATCTCTTTAAGACTTCTAATTTCTACATTAGAATATTATGGTAAGACATCTTTATAAGCTATATAATAACCATGTGACTCTTCAATTCACGGAGACCGTTAATATGCCATGAAGTCAAATAAGAATCACAAGCATATTATGTGCATGATGTTAAAGAAAAGTATAATTTATCACTGCAATTAGTATTATTTAGATGAACATCCTCACTTGGCTGAAAGCTACCATGATATCTAGTGTAAGTTACAATCACACTTAATTGTCATCTAGCATTAAAACTGTGTACAAAATTGGGCTTCCTCATCCCTCCTCACTCAGATAATGCTTCAGTCTTGATTTAGAAGCCAATGATTCTAATGTTCGAACATGGAAAATATTTCTGTCCTCCCACCACAACCGAGCAGACTTTTCTGTAAGTTCCCAGAATTAATTAGTACTGAGTTTTAAGATGTGATTAACCCAAAGCCAAAAGTAAAAGCAAATGATAGTTAATAAAATCATAGAATTTCATGGCTGCTGAGGCTTAGCCAAAAAAAAAAATCATATCTAATTTGAATTCCTTGTTTTAAAGATGAAAAGACTGAAGTCTGGAGGGGCTTACTGATTTGTTCAAGGTCACACAAGTTAACAACAGAGTATGGTTAAAGTTTTCTGACTCCTATTCCAGTGCTCTTTTTAATAAATAAAAGAAACTGTGATAGGAAATTAAGAAATTCTGAAAGAGAAAAATTACCTTTAATTACAAACATGAGTGAACCATAACTCAGATGCACTTAATAAGCTCTAAATTAAAATTATGCTTATTAAGAAATAAGAAGGAAGTCAAACCTGAAAAAATGATAGATCACTCTTCTGGGATATGGCCTTCACGTAGGATACACTAGCTATAATCAACTTTAAGAGCCTGTTCCAATTATTTTTAGTTCTGGAATTATTTCATATTGAATAATACTCAAAATTAGTAGAATACTGGCTAGGGAACAGAAATCTTTTTGATTTACAGATATTTCTTTGTAATGGGTTTTGACTAGGAAACTAAATTAAAGCAAACTTACATCTTAATTTCCTATATCTCTAATTTTGGTCTCTTCTCTCCTACCTGTACAAAGTAATGAGGACTAGAATTCCCTTTTCAATTTCATTCTTATTTTTCAAAATTTAAATAGTTTATTTCATTATTGTTTAACTTAATGATTTCTTCAACATTACTATACATCTAAGAGTAAAATCCTGTTAGAGAAATCAATAATAGAGATTTCGCTAATATTCAAGTTATGAAGTATGTAGACACTGGAAGACTAACTTTTATAACACTTTAAAAAATAAGTAGTACTTGAATGACTTAGGAATTGAAGAACTCTGTTATAGCCAATTCATTCATCAAATTAAAATGGGTTTACAAGCCCTAGGTAAAAAAGATAGAGAGTTTTTCTGTGCTTCCACTGGTACTGGGTAGTAAGAATAAAAGAAATGCGTAGTATATTTATAGGTCTTGAATTGTGGTTCAGGAAGACGTACAAGTAAAATAAAGAGATCAAAACAACAGATTCAGATAGTTATTCCTCAAACATAAAGTGGATTTGTAATTCCTACTAAAAATGTTATATGGGAAAAAGATAAAGTAAAAATATAGTTAAATGAAAGATGAAACATATTTGAATGTTTTTTAAAAGTCTATTATATTGGAAAAATATAAGTCTATACTGATATAGATACACGGATTTCTAACACAAAGAGAAGGCATATGTTATGCTTATTATATGCCAGACACTGTTTTAAGCATTTTTCATATCCCAATCTATCTAATTCTCACAGCAACATTTTCAGGTGGGTACTATTATTATCCCTACTTTACAAACAAGGAAGCTAAGGCACACAGTAAATGGCAAAGCTAGATGTCAAACCCAGTCAGTCTCACCCCAGAATTTGTGTGCTTAGGCACTGTACTATAATGGTTACTTCTTCAAAATTACCACCTTTGTAGACTTTCAGTCACTTTGTTATCAAAATGTAAAGATACATTTCAATTAAACAATTTCATTATAAAACCCTTTAATTCTATGACTGTCAAATATTGAAGAATAAGTTGTTTCTGGAAACACTTAGCCTCCTCTGTGTATAGCAAGCCCATGTTACAAGAACTATGCTAGATGCTTTCACACACTGGGGTTTTTTTCAGTAGAAAACATGGTTATGTATAAACTAAATAATTTTTATAGTCCTATTGTTATATGTAATACATAGTATACTGATGCAAAAAGTTCTACATGGCACAGAGACTACAGTGGTTGAGGTTCTACTTCAAATTCATAGACAATTCAACAGATAAACCTTGTCATTTCTACAGCCTGAATCTCTCCCTAATCCATCCCCTTTCTTTTCAAACCTACTGATCACTGTTAAGACTCTCAGCACTTCACGACTCCCTCCAGCTCAAACTCCTCCAATATACTCTATGGTGGCAGTGCAGGAGAATGCAGGGCCGGGGGGGGGGGATGTTGAGAACAGGGGTTGGGAACTCCATGCACTAAACTTCATTAGCCCCTCAAGTCACACAAATACACATAAAATCTACTTTTTATAAAAGTGTATTTGGTATTCAAACACAGCTTCAAGATAAATGCCTTATCAAGTTGCTTTCCCAGCCCCTCTCATAGAAATATCTGGAAAAGCAGCACTGACCCTCCATCATACTAAAACAATAATCATTATAAAATGCAAATTAAGTCATGTTATTCCTCTTCACCTCTTCCCCAAGATTTAAATGCCTTAGAACATCCATAAGTCACTTTATGAACTGGCTACCTTTCTTTTCTCACTTCTTCTTCTTGCCATCACCTACCCAAGCTAGCCATATTAAATAACCTGCATTTCTCTGAACATCCTTGCTCCTTCAGGCCTTCATGTTTTGCCCATTCTACACTCTATGTTAGAAATGTTCTTCCCCCTTCCTGACACCAGGCTAACCGCTGCTTCTGGTTTGGGATTCAGCTCAAACCCATATCCTCCACTGAGCCCTCCTTAAACTTCAGAGACCTTGCCTCCCTTCCAGAATTTCTTCCCCTAAAGAAAAGAGCTAGAAGCATCTTCCTCTCGATTTCCCTAGTCATATCATCATATGGTTCAATGGTCCTCACACAGTTCCATCTCCACCTGGTACTCACTGAAAAAAATCAGCTTTACCTTGTTTATCATTGTTTCCTCACTTCTTAACACAATGCCTGGCATTCATATTTAATATTTAGTACATGTGTAATGAGTTGGAATTAAATTCTCTATACAATATAGTAATAATAGAGATGTGTACATTAATTGAAAATGGAAATAATATTGATAATCATGTTCACAGAAATAAAACTTTGACCATTGTGGGTTTTATAATAAAATTAAAATATTAAACTCACAATTTGGGCACATAATGAAATTTTGGACTTTCATGCCTCACTTGTGTAAATTACATTTTTTAAATTACATTTTCAAAAATTATAGAGGTTCTAATTTAAGATCCTGTTGACACATGCTATATTAGTTGTTTATTTGATCATCAAGTAAAACGGCTATTTTTTTACATACAATACATAAGTAACTTAATTATGCTAAAGTTGTTCATTTTAATTTTCTTGTTTCTGAAAGAAATGGCCACATGTCAAATAGAAAGCATTTTCATTATCCTTTAACAAGATGAATGTCTTATTTTGTATAATTTGGGGCAGTTTCTTACTAAGACTGCCAGCCCCTTATGAACATTATGATTTGCAGATGTGTAGTGTGCATTAAAGAACAAAAAGATATCATGAAATATTAGTGACAATTATATATTGGGCAAGGAAACTGGACAGTGTTTCCTAGGGTTGTAAGGATTGTGGAAATGAATATTACTCAAAGTAGAGTGATGATTTATAACCAATTTCCGTCTTCAAATTAAGGCCCAAGTAAAAGAAAATGAAATCTAGCAAAGCATGATGGTGTATCATTTCCTGCAGCAGAAACACCCACTCGGACCAGTGCCCTCACTATGTACAGTACAACAAGCAACAACCTGAGGGAAGCCCACAAGCTCGCAGGGCTACAGGCTGGTTCTTTGTCACCAAATGCAGCAGGTTGAAGGCAGACATCACTGTGATATCTTCACCAACAAAACGAAAGTCAAAGAACAGGGGCAAGAGCTGAGTAGGAGAAAAAAAAAAAAAAGCAAATTAAAACATCATAAATGTTAAACATATTCATTGCACAATTGATGATTATGGTTTTATGTGGAATTGAACATATACACAATGTTAATAAATTTCAAATTCCTATTTTTCAGACAGTAAGCTTACTTTCAACCCAGACTTATTTATATCTTATCAATAAAATACACACTATATAACAGCAGTGTGTCTTGTGAACACATTTTGCAAGAGATTGAGGAAAGAGATGAAGTTTAAAACAGTTGAAAGGAATTAGCATTTACTGAGTTCATACCATGTGACAGGAACTGTCTGGGGCCTAATATACACATTTTATCATTTAATTCTTAGAGTAAACCTAGGAGGTACATGTAATACAATACATGTACCCCAATACACATGTAAGGAAACCAAGGCTCAAAGGTCCAAGGGCACAAAAGCAAATAAGCAGTGGAAAAAAGATTAGAAAACACTGCTGTATCTGACTGCAAAGCCATGCTCTTTCCTTAGACCATGCTGCCTTCTTCCAGCCATTATTTGCAAATTTCCTTCCTGGAGAAGACTCTAAAATATTGTAAGATTCGGAGATTTCTTTTGTTAGAGTTTCTTTTTTCTTTAGTAGAGACCCAAAAAGGACAACTAAGAGACTTTACTGTAGAAAGAGTGTCAAGTTTGAATAAAGCACGGTGAATATGAATTCTCATTCATTTTTATGATTTATAATTTCTAGATCAATTCTGTGAATAATATGCACGGCCCACCATTAAAAAGAGTACAAATATTTTTTTGCAGTCTTTGGAAATGAATCACATGGAAGAAACTCAAAAGTGTGTGAATACTAAACTTTAGAGAAAAGTTCAGTTCTTAGGTTTTTGTTAAATGTTTTGTACAATACTTCAATTGGTAAAGATCAATTTCAAATGAAAATGGAAAATACTAAATTAATATCAACTTCTTATATTTTATTGAAAATTAGCATTTTACATGGCTTTAACCACTAAATGTCCAAAAATGGACGTAAAATTAACATCGTGTTCTTTTCCTGACCACCACCCTTACCTCCCCCCCCGACCAGAGTACTGTTCCTGTACTCTTCTGACCTCCTTAAAGACAAATATATAATAAACAATAATATATTTTACCAAATCACTCTGGAGTATATCTGACAGAAATCTGCTTGTATTAACATGCCTGAACTCTGACTTCTCCAAACTAAACTCACTACAAAACTAAAACATTTTTGTGTTACTAACTAGAGACAAAGGAGGGGAAGGGGGAAGGTAAGTATCACAATGCACAGCCTGAAAGAACCATTAAACATAAATAAACATGTCATTTTCACGAATGACTGCAGAGCAGGGAAAAGAGAGCATTCCTTTGGAGCAGACTACTGACTAATAAAAGATCAAAGGTCCATACCTCACAACACTATAAATAAAAATGTATATTTTTCCCTGTGACCCTTCTCTGTGAGGAATAAAGTGTGCACAGTGAATGTAATTACTTAGCAAAGCTGCAGCCTCATTGTGCTCCTGAAGCTGATCATAAAACGTCTTCCTATTCTGTTTCATCAACTGCTGTACCAGGCAGATTGGGCGCCTACCGATCACTGTGGCCATCTGGCTTGTGTCAAAGCCAGTGCACAGGAAGAAAGGCAGTGATGTCACTCTGCAGGTCAGACAAAGAACAAAGATGCAGTCTACAATTAAAAGCTAAGGGCCGCAAATACCAGGGGTCCTCCAGCATGATATGACTGCATGATTTAATATTCTGCCTGTGTTGCCTTTATTTCTACCCAAATAGCCAGGGCTCCATCTAGTGGCAAATTAGTTTTGCCCAGTTTTGTTTTGTTTTTTTTAAACATAGGACCCAGAAAGTGCTACATTAGTACCAACAAAGTGGAGCAACTAAAATGATTACTTTTAGAGCAGTCTAGTCTTTTATACTAAAGAATATAAAAAGCACAATTTTTCATGTGCTCTCCATTTTTAAATTCTACAAAGAAAGCATTTCATAAGTTAGGATTTGATATAACCTAATTATATTAATGCTTGCAAGGATAGTAGAAAAAAGCAGCTAAGTTTGCAAACTGCGTGCAAAGTGGCATTCTCACGCAATGCCCTGAAACTATACAGCTGAGATGTAAAGTGAAGCAGTTCTAAAGAATGAATGCATGCACCTGGATCAGTTGGTTAAATCAAATTCATAATCTTATACTTCCACAGAACAAAAGAATCATAATCAACATGGCACTAACATGTGACATTAGGAGTAACTCTTCACCAGAACAAAAAAAAACTAACAAAATTATTTTTTAGCTAATGTTTTCCACCTGATTTTTGTTTGCACTAAATGAAATAAAACACTTTGAAAAACAGATCAAAAATACATAATACATTTGCATGAAAGATAGGATATCACAATGGATGTGTGAGCTATAGAATCAGATTGCCTGGTTTGAATCCTGACCATGCCGATAACCAACTGTGTGACCTTGAACAAGTTGGGTACCCTCTCAGTGCCATAGTTTCCTTAACTTTAAAATAACGATTAAATAAGTTAACTGGTAAAAGGCACATGGAACCAACTCCTGGCACATAGTACAGGCTCAAGAAATGTTAGCTACTATTATTATCTAAATACGCCAAATATTTGCTATATTTTTTAATTGTATGAATTATAAAATACTAACAGTCCATTTATACCCAATTCTAGTTAGAGTTAGCAGGCCATTCTCAAAAAAAAAAAAAAAAAGATTATATTTAGGCAGAAAACTTACTAGCCTTTGATGGATTTCCACATTGGATTATCTTAAGGAAAACAGTGAGATAAAGAAATCCTAAAGATAACAGTTGACCTAGCACTAGCATGTGCCAGGCACTATTCTAAGCACCTCACATTAATTAGCTCTTCTTAATCCTCATAACCTTATAAGGTACATACTATCATTTTCCCATTTTTAGATGTAGAGACATGAAGAGGTTAAGTAATTTGCCTAAGGTTTTACAGTTAGTAAGGGGCAGGGACCCTAAGTGGGTAATCTAATTCATAATACATCTGAATCCGGGCCATCTAGCTCCAGTGATCTCAACCACTACACAACTGGCAATGAAAAGCTATAGGTTGCACCAACCCACTCTAGACACTCTGATTCTGTTTTCCTACTAGTTAGAATGGCTGAGAATAAACATGTAATAAGGAAACTTAATTCAAGAAGATTATTTAAAAATTCTCTCCCTTAACACTAAGATAAAGGTACAGAGTTAAGTGAAAAATCTGAGATATTCTCAGATTTCTAGCTTTGACCTTTCTATTCCACCAGACGCAACTTCAAATTCTCTTTTACCTTCAAAATTGTTCTCTAAATTTCTGGGATATTCCTTTAGGATATATCACAAAGATCCACAGAACTGACTCCACTTTAATCTACCAAAACTTGAATATGTTGAAGATATGGTACTTTTGGAGACCAAATAAACCAACAGCTAGCTCCTCCCACTCCCCACAAAAATTTGTTTCAATTTGACAACTTTCTTCCTATTGTGCTTCCCTGAACTGCCTGGGTGAGGACCCTAGCCAGAAACAATCCTGGTTCAAAAATGAGCAAAAGAAGCACATGCTTCTGAGTAGTTACAATCTATGGGGAAAGAATTAACACTAAACACCCTGTAGAAATAAGCAATGAGCAAGAACCACCAGAAAATCCATAATTCTCCAAGTTTATCCTCATCTTCCTCATTTTTGTATTGCTTTTGACTCAAATAATTGCACAAATGAATAACATTTACAGATAAGCAACGTGTTATTTTTTTTCAAAGCCAGACTAGATGTCTCAATCATCTTTCTAATCTTCCAGAATATCTAGTACATAATTTTGAAAATAGTGGGTGTTAAAAAATACTGGTTGAACAACACCTAATAAGCAGTATCACACTCGCGTGTTGAGAACAGAACTTAGATTACATAATTATCTACAATTTCCTGCTTAAAACTTTTGGATGATTCCCATTACATATTGCAGGGTTTCCCAGACTGTGTTCTGAGAAACACAAGATAGCCCTTCAAACAAGTTTAGTAATCAAATAGTGATGGAAATGCTACATAATATAATATAAAGGCCTTCAGTAAATATACCTGCTTAACTTTGTCTCTATTGGTGCCTCTGAAATGTTTATGACTATACAAAACCCCTTTCTGTCCTATCACCATCCCACAGAACACATTCTGGTATATCCTTTGGATAAAGTCCAAATTCCTAAACAAAGCACCTGAAGTTCTACATCTAGCTGCTGCTTAACTCTTCACCCTTTTCTTTTGCCACACCTCTACATCCCACTCCACCCCACCCTCCTGCCATACCAACATGCTCATAATTTCCCCTAACAGGTTCACTGTTTTCTACTTCCACCTCCATGCATTCATTCCGTATCCTTATTCTTTTTGCTACCACTCCCAACTCACACCACTCCGAACCTCTCCAATTCTACTCGTAGTCCCCACGATAGTGTAGTGTAGCTATCACATCCTCTACAACAATTTGCAGGACACTGATCTGCTTATATCTCTCCCTCTTCTAGATTATAAACATTTTAAGGACAAGAACAGCGTCTTTTTCATTTTTGTATGCCAGTAACCTGGCACAAAACAGCCATTCATTTATTGAGTGAAAGACTGTTGTTCAGGATCATAATTTCCAGTACTGCTATCTCTGCCTCCCAACTGCTAATAGTTTTTAAAGGGAATAATTTGAATTAAAATATGTTGGTTATATAACTATGAGAAGTTCCTATGAAGAGGTAGGAAGTTGAAAATGCAACCTGATTTGAAACCCTAAGATAATTCAAATGTCCTATTTTGATTTAAAAAAAAAATTCTATTTCTCTACTTTTCCCCTATAATTCTAACATCCAAAGATTTGACTAATTTGCTAGTATTTTAGAATGGGTTTCTTTTTTTCTTTTTACTTTTTCACCTGCAGTTGAATAATAAACTGCCAA